GGGTGCTGGATTTGTAATCCGGAGGTCCTGAGTTCAAATCTTTTCCCTGCCACTGGTGGTTAGGGTGCTGGATTTGTAATCCGGAGGTCCTGAGTTCAACTCCTTTATGCCACTAGATGGATTTGTGTTTGGTGGTCCCAGATTCAACTCCACCACACTTTGTAAATAGCCAACTGGTCAGCCTCCCGCCACTTAGGATTTTTAACAAGTTTCTGTTTAATTTACTGTATTTGTTTGTTTGTTTCAGTGTCCACAATTAGCACAGCAGTGCTAAACACTTGGACACTTAAAGAAAGTGATTTTTTTTTACCTTGATTACATGATCGAACTAAAAACTGAGGCGTAAAGATAATTTTTTTCATCTGTTTCTTTCCAGTTCCACAGAAAAGTGGAAGTATGTTATGATTTTTCTCTTGGCAAATACTCTGGCCTGCGTAACCTTCGCTGTTTTGGTAAACATTAATGACAAAAGAAAGGTAATAAAGAAGTCTTTTCACGTATTCAGTCCTATCAGTTGTGCAGGTCATGGAAAAAAACATGAGCTGGTCACCGCCCCATAACGTACGAACCAATATTTTGCATTTTGTCATTCTGAAAGACTGACTGAATGTTTTCAGAACTTTATGTTAAAACGTACAGTTGTTGTAGAGTTCACATATGTCTTTCAGGCTAGCGTGAAAGGATTATGTTGACATGACCTTGTAAAGTATTTTTCTTCTATCTCCATCCTTTGGGTATTAAAAGTAGCTTGGAAAATTTAATACCTAATTGAGTTTCTTAGAATGTACTGCACATACACTTTGGCTGTCCTGAGGTAATTCCCAGCCAAACATTGCTCCTGAAGTTTACGGTAGTGTGGCGGTTACTTTTGTAGCATGTGTAGCGTCACTTTTAACGTGTCAGGAGATGGGTAAATTGTGTATCACGGAGTGCATTGTCTTACCTAAGAAAAGAAAAACAGAAGACTACACTCAGCATCAGGATGTACTTCCATTCACCAACCAGTGTAAAATATATGAAATTCAAGTATTGTTTTTGTTCCTAGGGTGGCGTTCTCAATCGATCACCAAGAAAAAAGGACGATGCATTACTGGAGGGTCCAGTCAATACTTACGGATCTATCTCGACAAAAGGATACACTAATAAGGATGCACTTCTTTACGATTCATCAACATCCATCAATTAATTCAATAATGAAACCTACTGGGCCATAAGCAGTCATCTTCTGTAGTATTTTCTGAAGCTTATTCGTTTCTACTTGCAGTAAATATTAAATTGTGTATAAACGTGTTGCTGCAATTTAATGTTTTTTCAGATACAATAAGTGTGACCATTGAAAGCTGTTGAGCTGTACTTAATTTTGCTTTCTATCTATTTTTTTAGAAGAATTCTACTAGTATACTAATGCAAATGCTGCGATCTGATTGGCCGAGCCATTGTACACTTTCAGCCATTAGTGTGCAGTAGCTTGATGTGGTCAAAAAATGGCGACGTCGCATCATTTCTCCGAAGTTTTGAAGGAACATTTAAAAACAAATGGATAATCAAATTCCTGAGAAGACTGAAAGAAGGATATTCACATTTTCTTGAATGTAATATCCCAAAATTGTGGGGGGAAAACTGATGAGCGGAGGCACACAGCCGCAAATTTCAAATTAAAATTTCGTCCGCGCGACTTTTCTAAAGCGTGAAGTTCAAAACGAAGACGGGGAAAAAATGGAAACCGTTGTTTGGAGCAAATTTCAGTGAGAATTCTTTTAACACAATTAGATCATTCGCTCTCAATCTCTATGAGGTGATAGTTGATTCAGCCCTCGGCCTCAGCAACTATCACCTCATGGAAACTGACAGCAAATCTAATTGTTAAGTACAATTTTATCCAAGAAATTTGCCAAATTTGTCTTAAACCCCTCTGACTTAAAAAAGGATTAAGGGTTCTTCCAGCAGTGATGTTTAAATATTTTTTGGTAACGTCTTGGGTGTTTTTTTTTTCTTATATTAATTCCATGAGATGAAGTTAATAAGAGTAAAACTGCAATTAAAGGTCATCTTGTCCTACATAAGAGCTAACCATGAGCTAAACATGCTTTTAACAGGTTCTAGAATTGTACTTTGCTTGAATAACTTGCATGGAAAATAATTGCTGATGATAATTAAGTAGCGTTTTGTAAAAAAATAATTATTTACCTGAGAATGTGTGGCGTTAACAGGCAGGACTTTTTGTGCATATTGCATGGTTGACTCAATTCGGAGAGCCACAAGGGTTCTAGGCTGTAATATCACTTAAGAAGGGAGAAATTTATGATGAAAGTGTGTGTTAGAATTTAGGAGTAATTTGTTACTCATAGTATTATGGTAACATTTTATTGTGAGATTGACAAATTATAAGGTGTCTAAACAAAGATATCTCTAGTAAAAGAAAGAAAACAAATTAAAATAATAATTAAAAGGTTACAGATTGTAATATTATTTACTTATTGAGAAATTTATCAATATTTGTAACTAACAAATAAAAAGATCTTGCTTCATTTAAATGCAACAAAAACAAATTTCAAAACTGAGCAGTGCTCGCATTCGTAACAAGCCGTCCGTAATTTGGTTTTGACAGAGAAAACCACTTCAAATGAGTATCTCAGTATTTATTCCAAGAAACGTTTCAACGAGTAAACAGCGCCACTTGATTGAGATCTATCTTGCATTCCCACCTGAAAAAAATTGCGTATGCCTAAGACTTAGATTCTTCGGCTGATTATCGAATTCTAAATTCTTTTGAAACCCAACCACAAAGTTCTGGGCTTACCACAGTAAACGCAGTATCGGAAAATGTCGGAATAAAACCAATGCAAGAAAACCTGCTCCTGTTTATAGCAAAACAAAGATTGCCGTTCTAAAATCGAGGTGAAATCTTCAAACACATGGTTCATCTTTACAAGAGGCAGTTTGATTGGTTGTTCATTGCAGCCCCAATCCGATTGGTGTGACATACATCCCTCACTCATCCAATGACCCACCCATAACAAGGTCCAACACAGGAAGTCTCACGGACTTCCCTTCACTCTGCGTATGCTCAGAGTCAAGTCTAACAAATCTGCCCCCCTCCCCCCTCCCAGCTCGTACGCCTATGGCCACCACCATGTTAAAACTGTATAAGGCCTTTGTTCTGCCGCATTTTCAATATTGCTCTGCAGTATGGGACTTCGCTTTTGTAGCTCTAGGGATAGCGACAAACTTGAGACATTGTAATATAAAAGTTTTCATGTCAATAGCAGTATAAACGCCATTTCTTACTTCCTTTGCCAGTCTGATACAATTTTCGATACTGTAGGTAGATCAAAACTATATGTTCACAATAAGTCGTTTGCGAAAAATACCGCATAGCTATAATTAAGACCAAACGGACGGTTCTTTATCATAGCTGGCAGATGAAAGAAACAGAAGAAAAACAACAGGCAACTAACAGGCTAGACCTGGAATTAGCGTCATGCTTCATGGAAAGCCTGTTAAATCCGAGAGTAAGGGGTTCTGTTACTCTACAACCTGGGCTCAAACAGGACATTAATAATTTTGAACGAGTATGTTGCAGAAATTTATAACAAGTAAAGCATTTGTTTTCTGAAAACATGGGATGTTACTACATGCCTCCGGGACCACCCCCCTGGATCCGCCACGGAGACTGATAATGAGCTAGTAAGTGGTAGACAACTTTTTCTTTTTTAAATTGTTTAACTCTAAATATCTGCGATTAAATATTGCCTAAGATCATTGACAACTTTTTTAAAATAGGAAATCGACGACGTCACCATCCCGGTGAAGCCCTGATTTTTTTCGGGCTTCTTCTTTCCAATTGCTTAAATTGGAAAATTTACTGCGATGATCATCCTTCACTTTCATCTACAACCGCAGTTCAAATATGAATTACTTCATATATACTTCACATCATTTCACTCCTCACGGGAAGATATGAACTCAATTAATTGACCTCACTCCCAATGTGTGGCTTCATAGCTCAGTTGGTA